CGGTTTGCTTGTTACAACGTAAGAGGTTTAGGGGCTGTCTCTTATACACATCTAGATGTGTATAAGAGACAGTACTATGGCTGAGTGGGTGTGTAGAGTGGGTTTTATGACTGTGTCAGATTAGTTTCTCAGACTTACTACCGTTCTTGTCACGGGTTTGGACCGGCAGTCTGCTAGGATTGCAAGGTTCAAGTTGGTGTGAGTAAAGTGGGGACCACTTTTCTCTCTCAAGGGTGGGTGTCGCTAACTCTGGGCGATGTGGTGGTGGGTTCTTATCCGTCAGTCAAATGCGTCGTGGGCAGACTGTTGGGGTTCAGCCTCCTGATGAGTCGTTGAAAGTCCGACGAAACAGTCTGGCACAGTCAGTTTTTTTTTCGAGTGTATAGCGAATATGACAACACACACACACACACACACACACACACACACACACACACACACAGACACACACAATGTGGGCAGCCTTGTACGTAAGAGGCACAGTAAAAGGGGAGCTGCAAGAACAAATGGAAGGGGTACGCCAAGGACAACCAATAAACTGTCGAATTATAAAATTGCTTTAATATGTTGGACCGTCTCATCTCAAATGCTCTCGTTGTCTGCAATAGGACAAAGATTGCTTTGATTCTGAATCTATTCATCTGGGTGGAATTGGGGCTGTTGTGGGGAAAACCTATAAGGCTATAACACACACACACACACACACACACACACACACACACACACACACACACACACCCCACACACACACACACACACACGCACACACTCGTCGGACCACCCCAAGACCAACCACTCAAACAACCCTCCCCCAAGGCCCGCTACCAGCATACTGCAACCATGGACTAAACCCCTTGGGTGGTGCGCGGGCAGTGTCTGCAATAGTTACCATGCGTCGGCCCAAAGGGAGTGTGTGAATGGCCGTGCGTTGGTCAACGCCCGCCGGTGTCGGTGCGCAAGGCTGTGGAGTTCTGAACCAGCAACCTCATACCACAATGCGCATTTCCAACCGGTGCTCCACTCACTGAGCTACTGGCCATAGCATAGTTTTTTTTTTCAATTGTTTCTTTTTTTTTTGGCAGGGACCTTGCCGGCTGAGTGTCCTACTAATGAGGCTGGGGGGGGTGGAGTTTTAGGACTGTTCATAGCCGTTTAATTTCCCTCCTACCCCCGTTAAATTCCCGTTGAATAAAAAATGGGGGGGCTCCTGCCATTTGTTTTTCAATGGATTGGGTCTACGGAAGTTCGGGTACGCAGCCCAGCACCCCTGTGCGATTAAACTGAAAAAAAAAAGGGAATCACGCCCCCAAAACACCCTCTCACCCCTGGTCCCGTGTGTGTGTGTGTGTGGGCGCCTACGCACAAATGCGCACGCACACACACACAGAGGTGTTGCCGTGGGGACTTTTTACCTTACTCCTTAGGTAGTGGAACTGTGTCCCTGGTCCTTCATGGCCAGGTCGCCCGGGCAACCAAGGTGGACCCACGAGGTCTAGCTGTTTAGCCCAGCAAATAAGTCTATTTAGTATTTACCAAATTTACCCTGAGTTATTTATTTACTCTTGACTGTCTGAGCAGATACAACAACCATGACCAAGTAAATACTAAATACAAATAGATGAAAATTGAATAAAAATTATAATATAGTATATACAATAAGTTAATAACTGATGGAATATATTTTTGCCCACTTGCACAGGATGTTATTGCAGCTCTGCAAGCGCGAGCTGGAGCGGGTGGCCATCACCACGATACGCTACTGCTTGTCATGGGCGATCATGGGCAGACGATGACTGGAGATCATGGAGGAGGCACTGATGAGGAGGTAGGGACCACCACATTACTCATAGAGGCGGCACTACTCGTGCCCAGGTCTGTGATGCGACAAAGCCCGTTCGGGCTTGCTGTTCTTTTTTTTTTTTTTTTTTATCTCCCCAACAGAACAGATCCTTGATTTCCTCTGGATGTGGCTCTGTATCCATTATGTGGGAGCATCCTGGGTCCCTCGGGTCGGGATTTGGGCTGTAGAATGAATGTTGGGTTAGATTGTGTCATCATGTTTTGTCAAATGTTGTTGCATCCATAAAGTGCGATAACAAATGATTAAAATTCATGAAATTAACATGTAACAAATTATTAAATGAACAATTAAAAGCAAAAAAAAAAAGACCCCCCCGTTTGCTGTCGCCTGGGTACCTCAAGCGGGTTTCCCCCGAGCAAGTTTGCCCGGGTTGCTGGGCCAGGCGACTCTGGTAGCCCAAGTTAAATAATAAAAAGTATTAAAAACGTTTTGGCGCAATGCACTTTGATCCTTCCCCGCAGGGGGTGCGAAACAAGTTTCGAGGTGAGCAATCGGAGCAGAAGGGGGGGTGAATCTGTTCTGGTCAGTTTGATATCTGGTCTGTGGTCCATCGGGCCCAAAAAAAATAATCAAAGAAGGGGGTGAAACAGCGCAAGGCAAGGGGGAAATCATCAAGGGGAGAAAGAGAAGAAGGAGAGAAAGCAGAGGAGGGGCGGAGCCAGCAAGGAGAGGGTGACAATGAGGGCAAGAAGGAGGGAGTTGTAGAAGCAGCCATCACTACGATGAGAGGCTACATGCTGATGTGGCAAGCGACCAGGATGCCTCGTGTTGTGCCTATGCGGCTGCATAGAGAGAGATCGAGTGACTTGAGAGTCTATACGCTGAGCGAACTGCCGTCGCCGATCTGTTCACCATCTATATCAGCATTCAAGGCAAGCACCTTTCGATGTATTCTGCAAGCGCAATGTGTAAATTACTAAATTTAAAATCTTGCAAAATAAGAGAGGTGGGGAAATTAAAAAATGGAAGGCAACGAAAGGTGAAGAAAAAAAAAAGGGGAAAAAAATAAGGGCAGGGACTCCGCCGGCTTCATTTAAACCTCAAAAAAGGTTAAATGACACCGAGGGGGAGTTGCATTTTTTCTATCCTAAGTAAAGAGTTAAAAGTTAAAACCACAAAACAAAAGAAGAAAAAGATGGCGTATTCAGACGAAGAAGAAGAAGAAGAAAAAGACATTGAAAATGGAATTCAATTATTATTTTTTGGAAATCTTTTCCTGGAAAACTTACAGCCAAGCTAGTGTGATGGGTCTCTGTGTGTGTGTGTGTGTGTGTGTGTGTGTGTGTGTGTGTGTGTGTGTGTCTTGTTGCAGGTGAACAGTGCAATCTTCGCAATGAGTATGAGGCGGCCGCCTTATCAGCTTCCAGAGGCGCTGCGCTCGCCTCCATGCAATCACCAGGTATTTTCACCTGCAATGAGAAAGTGTGCAGACTGCATAGTAATATACCGACAAATTTAGGCAAAATACAATATCTACGCGACCAAAATTTCCAACTCTGGTGAGCCACACGTGAATGCTTTTTTCAACAGACAAGCATCTAGAAATGGACCTTTCCATAATCTTTTTTTTTTTTTTTTTTTTTTTTTATAGCTTTCATGACCTTGATATCTGTTTTCTAGAGATTAATTTATTTGTCCTTGGTAGCAGCCGGAAAAAAAAGGGGGGGAAGATACTGAATGCCTGGCTCGTAGGATGGTGCAATGGAGAAGTGGGAACTTGGATTTTTTTTTTTTTGCTGACGAATTTGAAGTCACTGCCTTAATTGATTCCCCAATCACCGAAATTCAAAACAGAAAAAAAAAAGAAGAAAGAAACACAAAAGACAAGGTCAAAATTTTTAAAATTTTAAAAGTTTTACTAAATTTACTTTACTTTAAACGGCGACGGCCTTGAGATATCATCGTGGAACTCTGACAGGCCCCAAGCAATTCTGAAATTCATTGGACTGATTTCATCCGGACTTGAGAGCTCATGTCGTGAGGTATCTCAACAGTTTGTGAGGTGTACCTACCTACCGACGAGGTAGGCCCGGCAAAGCGTTTTTTTTTGTTTTTTTTTTTTCCCTTTCTTTCTTTCTTTCTTAGTTTGGATTGCTTTTTAGTTCTTCTCAGCTTTTCTTTGATCTGTAATGTCACCCCTGCTTTTTTTTTCTTTTTTTTTTCTATTTTTACGTCACCCCTGCGGTTGTGGGATTGCATTTGATCGCAAAGACCACTTTGCCAGTAAGCGTAATTCTTGAAATTGGTAGAAATATTAAATAATGAATTTTAGATATAAGTTCATGTAAGAGTAATTATTATCGTAATGTAATCCTTTTTTTTTTTTTTTTTTTTTAAATGAGACGATGCTCCAATCTATTCGTGGGGAGCAACACGGCTGGGAACCGGGCCCAACGTCCCTTATCAGAATACAAAAAAGAGAGCTACCGGGGCCATTACCCGGCTTCGGCTAAGGTGTAAAACCTTTAAAGTCGGAAGTTAAAACCTTCAGTACCTCTCACAGGCAAACCCGAAACCTCCTAAAGGGGGTGCCTCCGTAAAATTGGTAGCAAAAAATGAGGTGTAAGAGTTCCGTTGGTAAAACCTAAACCTACACCGCATTTTTTTTGGAGGCGGGCATGTCACGAGACCAAAATGGCCTGGTGGCGAGCATCAGTCCCGCCACCCAAAACAGTCGTGTAATTCAGAATTATTATTCAGTTATAATCAATTAGTTGGTTCTGTTCATCAAGGGAGTCGAACTCACGTCTTTATTTCAACAGGTGATGGGTGTACCAGCTGAGCTAGGCCTGGTGTTTGTTTGTTGTTGTTTTTTTTTCTTTTTTCTTTTTTTTTAAATCCCGGTGGTGATAACTTTTAGAAGTTCAACTTGTAGACCCATTTTTTTTTATCAAAAACGTTTTGGTTACGTGTGGCAGATTGATTACGTTTCGGCACGGGATTTTGGACGTCACCCTGAGGAAGCGCCGTATGTTTTTTTGATGTTGCTCTTATTTTTAATTCATTTTTTTGCCTTTTGTTTTCGTGTGTTATGTGCACGCTCGATTTGTTTGTGCTGATGTCACTAAGGGAGACAGTGATGGCTTCTGCATCAGTACTTTCCCACAGGTAAGATAAGTTGAGAACAAAAAAAAAAAAAGGAGAAGGAGAGGGAGGAGAGAAGAAGATGCCGATTTCTTTATTTTCATTTTTTTTCAAATTTTTTGAGAGGGAGGCGAGAAAAAGATGCAGAAAAGCCTTTTTTTTTTTTTTTTTTTTTGAACTTTTTTCCATTCGTGAAAAAAGGTAAAAGGAAAAACGACCAAAAAAATAACATTGTTCTAATTTCCAACCATCCCAATGGCTAGCGTTCCAAATTCCAATATGTGTTATCAATTCACAGCCTCTTTTTTTTTTTTTTTGTGTGTGTGTGTTAACAACTCCCTCCCTGAATGGAAGTATTGACATCTTTTCCACCTACTGTCTTCACCCGAATAGAACGCCCAGTCGTTATAGACGTATTTGGGGCGACTTTCAGTCCAGATACAGCAAGAATGACCAGGGGTTCTGTTAAGGTTTAGAAGGCAGGCGGCGTGACAAATCCAGCCTGAGTATCCAGCTGGATTGTCGGGGAGGAGGTTTATGTGAATTTCGGGATGATTAAAAACATGCCTGGGTTACCTGGGACTGGGCAGCCGGGCGACTTGCCCGTTTTGGGTGTCCAGCCTGGATCAACATGGGCATGTTAAAAGTTGAGGATTCCCCCCCCCTGTCATTGGGGGGGTCTCCATGCCCTCTAAAAGAAGCCCAAATCCGGGGCTCTTTTTGCTAGGCTGTTTTCCCGGGCGCCCGGGCACCCAACTTCTGCCTGGGTACACGCCCGGGTGCCCGGCAGGGCATGACCCCCGGGCAGGGTTCCAGGCAGCCCCAGCGCCAAAAAAAAAAAAAAAAAAAACTCAAAAAATTCCGAAAACAAAATATGTTGTGTAGGATTGAAATGCAAACCACTTTTGGCTGAGGGTCACATTATAATTCCTCACAGAATCGGAGATAAAAAATAAAATAACAGAATCACACAAAGGCACCCCCCTTTAGACCCCTTTAGCCCCTTTAAAACCAATTTATACCCCCCTCCCCCCCCCTTGACAGCCAACT